TGCACACATGCATCAGCCAGCGGGGGGCTGCCCCCCTTTTCAAAGGCCGCCGCCTCCCCTCTAGGCAAGGGGGGGGGCAGGGCACACTATAGAAGGCCAGAGATCGCCCGGGTGGCGAAAAAGGGGTTTTGTCGGTCGGAACTCGAGTCTCGCCGAAAGGGCTTCATCATCCAGTTGCGTGGCAGGGGAAACGCGGGCAATCACCCGGGTAAAACTCATCCCAACCAGCCGGGTTTTGACGTGAGGAATTTTTGAAATTTTGCGTGCCATAACTTTCGAAACCTGGACCTTTCCATATATAAAAGTTCAGCTTGTTAAGTACAAATTTATATGCAAAATAGTGGGACGTTATTGGCTGTTTTCTGATACTAAATATATAAATTAAAAAGATTGCGTCATAAAATAACTGTATTAGCGTTTCATTAATGCGGCGCCAATCTCGGTTTATTGAAAACTAGCTTAAGCATTATTTGAGCGTTAAGTTTATAGCTTTATAAAAAGACCGGATTCCCATAAGTGCTTCCGCTTTCCACAGAATCGTTAATTTGGAACCCTAATTTCGACTCCTAAAAATGCTCTTTTTGTAAATGTCATCCGAATTCCGAAACCATCGAAAACGTAAGATTTTACCACGAATTGGCTTAATTCGAGTCAAGATCTGAATTTCTGCCTGCGCGAAACAAAACGCCCCCAAAGCACAGAAAAATCAGCTATTCCAAAAAAGCCACCGAGCGGTGTCGTCTTTCTGCTGCAGTCCGCCGTACCCCGGAATACTAAATTCTAGTCGCCGCAAAAGCCATCTGGTCCTTTTGCCTCTTCTGCTTCTTTCTCGTTTCCGTGTTTACCCTCGATCCGCTGGCACACAGACACGCCGACAACACACATACAAACCCACAAAACGGCCCCGGCACCCCTGCAAATGCCACAACTTTGCACATCATCGAGACTGGGGGTCGCGAGAAAGTGACGGTTTATAAGCTTCCTCTCTCCCTCTCTCCTCTCTCTCTCTCACTCACTCTCTCTCTCTCTCGCTTTCTCTCTCTCTCTCCTGACCCAGAAGCCGGGTAAATATCGCAAAATTCTACGATTACATCTCGATCAGATCCTGGAGGGGCCGCTACTCCCGATCGATCGCTGTAGTCTCTGTACCTGGGCGATCGTCCAGATCGGCTACGTGCAATCCGTCTGTTCCGTATACACACCGGCTTAGGTTTGAAACGGTGAAGTTCCACGACGATCCGCGAGAACCACGATGGAATCCACTTTATTTGGCTTTTCACCAGCTTTTCCACCGCCAATATACAGATTCCCTTGTACTATTATGTAACTAAGTAAATTCAGTCAATTTAGCGTCAAAATCCCTTCTGATTTTACATTTTTAACTGCCTACAATTAGACAAATCCGTTTTTGTCGCCGGGAGTGGGTCAAACCAGAATTAATTAGGGAAGTCCAACTGACTAGTAAAACGTGAGGTTTTGCTCCTGTTGAGCTTTTCTTAAAGTTCCACTTCTGCTCATCCAGCAGGGGCATCAAGTACAAAATCTATAAAACACACAAAGTTCATTTCAAATCCTTTGTGCTTTGAAATCACCGCTGACTCACAGTTGCACTTGCATCAAATTGTTCAACCTCGCGAAACCTCTCTCTCTCTCTCTCTCTCTCTCTCTCTCTCTCTCTCTCTCTCTCTCTTTATTTCTCTCTCCCTGACGATCCGCTGAAGCCTATTCAGTAATACGGTACTTGCACTTCATTCCCAAGCCAGAACTTTCAACAAGCCGAACTTTTTGCGCGCTACACCGTCCCTTCAGCACCCATCGGGCCCCTTTGTGCGTCCGGAAATCTCGAGCGCAAGTGTTCTTTCTTCGGTTTGCGGCCCCCCTTTAGTCGCCCCCGCTTCTGCCGGTCGATGTTCAACAAGTACGACAAGCCTTCCTGTCCTCATCCTGACCGATGGACTATAGACGCATTCGGAAAAATTCCGGGGAGATTCCAGGCGATTCCGCGCTCCCGCCGCTTTGCATGCGCTTTTATTGTCTTTCCCCCAGGGCTACTGGGGCTACGAAACGATCGGTGCGACTACAGTGGAGCGAAACGGAATCTGAGAACTATCACGTTTCCTGGCATTCCGGTTAGTTTTCTAGGTTTTCGTAGTGCCCCTTTTACAATCTGTAAAACGCTTGTTTCTTGGCTAAGACGGCTCAAAACTACGAGTTCCAAGGCACACTTTAACACGAGTATCATGATGCTTAGTCACGTAGAGTCGGGTAGGTCTTTTTATTAGATTCCTGCTGAGCGTGCCCCCTTTACCGCTTCGAACTACCTGAATCGAATCCACATCCACCCAAAAATGATGTCACGAGATTGAGATCGAGTTCACCGGCCGTATCCTGGAGGAGCAGGACGGGTCGGCCCTCCACCTCGTCTCTCAATTTTTTTGGGCCGGTTTTTGGGAATGGAAGTTGCCTGCAGCCCTCCGAAACCGCCCGCTGCTCTTGTAACCCTCTGCCTCAAAAACGTTCTATTTTGTGTCGACTGTTTGCCGGAATTTGCCGGAAGAAAAACACGGCAGAGGGGGTAGAAAGCATCCAGTGATTTGGCGGGTAGGGGGGGGGGTCACGTGACTTCCGTATCGATAGACGGTAATCAGCATCAGTTTTTATGGCCCATGGCCTGGGTGGTATTCCAAAAAACGGTGATTTGGGAGAAACTAAAGTATCGTTTGGGGCCAGTAATGGGGTTCAGGATCATGTCACTTTCTCTCCAAAAAAGCACGAGGCAAGCGGGAACTAAAATTTCGATGGGAAACTCGATCGTTCAGCCGACCTCAAAAACTTTTTTCTCGAAGTTCGGGAAAATATTGCGAGCTCCGGCTAAACTGGATTTATATGTTTCGCGCCGAATTTTTGTGTTTGCCCGCAAATTTCCGTCGCTGGATACGATGTAGCATTCGGATTTTGGGGGGTTGTACTGTTACAAACAAGCCTTCGCGCTCTCTCTCTCACTCTCTCTTTATCTCTCTCTTTCTCTCTCCCTCTCTCTCTCCCCCTCTCTCTCTCTCTCTCGCTTTCTCTCTCTAGCCCACTCGATCTCTCTCCGTCACTCGCGCTTTCTATCCCGTTCTATCGCTCTCTATCTGTCGCTCACACTCTCGCTCTCGCTATCCCTCCCTTTCTCACTCCATCTCTCGCTCACGCTCTCTCTCGGTCTATATCTTTCACTTCCTCTCGCTCTCTCGCTTCTTACTCCGTATCTCTCGAAGAACGCAACGCGACCGCGGCGCGTTCAGTCGTGTCTCTGCACGCAGATATGCAGCATTATGGCCAAGAACCGCGTCCCCTTCCCTATTTTCATCCTGCTTTACGTTGGCATTCATAATTTTGACCGCCCAAACCTGACAAACACCCCCGATCCGAATCGTCCGGAAAATTCCATCTCGGTCTGGCCAAACACGGGGTGCGAAGGGCGCTTTTTCCAAAGGACGGAAAATTCGAAAGGTTACAAACAGTCGGGTGTGGTCTCTTTATGAGCCGGGGCCATTCTGGGACGGGAGAGAGACAATGAAAGTACTAGAGGGATGGATGGCCCGCGGGATGGTATGTGCAAAGAAACGGTAGCCCCGGGGGCCCGAGGTTTCATTCGAAAGCACCGGGATTGGACTCTGCCGATCGCAAGGTATCGTATTTACGTATTTAAACTCTGACTTTATAGCTCGTTGTCAAATTTGTACGCTAAAATCCAAAAAAAAATCTGATTCTAGCACTGTTAAACAAATTCAACAGATCCTCCGATGCAACCTTGAATTTTTGAAGGGCTGAGATCACTTAAATTATTTTTTTAAAGTCGGCTAATTCGTGACTTTACATAGTTTTAAAAACCACTAAATCAACGTAAATCCAGCGGATTTCAAATTCCTCTTCAAGATCAAATTCCATAAAGTGAGGTTAACACTTTTCAATTTTCTTAGTTACCCCACGAACATTGCTTTTTCCTTTTGACTGCACTGCAGCAAGCTATTTTCAGCAAAGTTCGTCCTCAATTTTCGGAGCTCATTCTCCCTGATCCGGAATCCAGTCCATCTCTGGACTCTAGGATCTCACCCACATCCCCCAAACAGATCTACGGATTTTCTTCGATTTTCGCACGCGCAAGGTTGTTGTTTTCCGCAGCTTCCTTATACTCGGAGCATAAGTGCTCGCTCTCTCGCAAAAGAGGGACAGAGCGTGAGAGAGATAGCGAGAGCGCGGAGAGCCAGAGAACAAAAGAAAAATTTCCCATATAGTGTAATCCCAAATGAAAATGACAGTATAGATCGCATTTCAAACTCGCGCATTCCCACGTTCCCGCCAATGGGGAATAATTTTACACTCTGCAAAAAGTCGTCTTTTGGTGTCTTGCGGAGTGGGAGGGCTGCGACTACACTTTTCTCCCCTTCCCCACCCGTGCGGCGCCCAATAACCGACCTAGCCCCCAGGCTACCGTACCCCGAAAGGGGAGTTTGAGTTCCGCCCGGCTCCGGCTCCAACAAGTTCCCATTCCATATGAATCGCCGCTGCAAAATTGTTTCCTGTTGATATGTTGACCCTGGCGGCCCGGGTGGGTGACGATTTAATGCCGAGATTTCTGATCATTTCCGGGGGAATGTGGGAGTTCTCCTTCCCCGTTCGACATCACTGATATTCGGAAATGCGATTTGGAAGATTTTTCTGAGTACTTTTTGTTGCCCTTCCAGAAATTGAAGGCGATTATCATTTGGCCCGTTTCTAAAAGGTATAAGCCTACGCCTAAGCCTAAGCCCTAAGCCTAAGCCTAATAAGGGTTTTCACATAGTGACTTGCGACTTGTTATTTGACTTGATCACTTGATATTTTCCGCTATTCGTAAGGCACAATGACTTTATACATTGTCATATCTTGTCCTCTTCCATAGTATTCCATTCCGTTTTCTAGCTGTTTTCTTTTTTGCGGTTGATGTAAAAGATTTGTTAGTATATTTTTCAGTTATGGAAGACAAACGGGATTGTCGGATTTGCGGGAACGTCTCGGATGGGACCCATTTTGGCGTCGACTCTTGCAGGGCATGCGCCGCATTTTTTAGGTGGGAAAAGTTTCTTGAAACTCTTAATAACTGTTTTTTTTAGGCGGAGTGTTGTGATGAAAAAGAAATACGTGTGCCGACAGGGCGGGGAGAAGTGTTTTATTAAGAAAAGTTAGTTTTAGAATGTGTTGGTATAAGCGAGGGAGAGAGCGTAAGATAGAGAGAGAGAGAGAGAGAGAGAGAGAGAAATAAAGAGAGAGAGGTGTAAAGACCGACAGAGATAGAGAGAGCTATTTTTATGCAAATTTTTCAGATGTCCGTCTAATGTGCCGACTTTGCCGCTACATGAAATGTGTCGAAGTCGGGATGCAGCCGGAAGGTAAAGAATTTCCCAAATATTTTTCACATGTTTCTAGTAGTTGTAAAAAACAAGAGCGACGATCTGGACGCCCTGGACATCACCTTGAAGTGCGAGGCTTCTACGTCACAGCTTGAGGCCGAAATCGTAAGTCGCATCATTAAAAATGGCACAAAGGAAAATCCAGAAACGCGATCTACAATCAGCGTCTCTTGAGCGTGACCTGACACCCCCATCGACAGCGATTTTGGACAGAATTATGGAAAATTATAAGTTGGTAATTTGTCCGTTTTTGAGGGTACGGTAGAACTACGCTAGATTACGATATTTCCATAGTATTATCGGGGAAATTTTAAGCTTTCGGAGTACTGTAGCTGTTCCAAAATACACCAAATTATCGTTGGAAACCTTCTGTAGGTGACTTGGCTAATCGGAAAGTGAGTTCCGTATCACCCCTAATCGCCAGGGTATCTTAGCCGGCCGTACTACACTTAAACGGCAGCGTACTGTAGACATCCGCATTACACCTAATGACTGGGATACTGTAGTTTTCCGCATTACACCTAATTAATGGGAGATACTGTAGTTTTTCGTACGATTCTTAAATAGTTGAGGATATTGTAGATTTCCGTGCTGCTCCTATTCACTAGGCCATCTGTAGGGTTTGTACTGCACCTAATTACTTTGGAATATTGTAACTTTCCGTAGTTGCTACCGTACGACCGCTAATCACGTCGTATATGGTAGAAGTACGACTCCATACCTAAGAACATCTTAAGGCAGCCGAGCTGAAAAAAAGCCGTTTTCTGGAGATACTGTAGCTTTTAAACCCTATAATTCCAAATTCCAGGCAATTGTGCACCGTGCGGCGAGCCGCCGAGCAAGCAATGTGGCGAACGGGCTACAACCAAATGTTTGCCTTCGCATCCTTTGAAGCGGTACGTCCGCAGTACACTAACGTACTCATAACTTATACTTTAGGACATACACCCAGCAAATTTCAACCTGGTCTCCCGAATCATGAGGGCAAACGTCCCGGCAACCGCCGAATTTGTCAACGAAACCTTTGAAATTTTTGGAACACTCGCACAGCGGGATAAGGTACGGTAGAGGGGGCGTGGTCTGGGATTTGCTACGTTTTTGCAGTGGCTGGTCTTCCAAAGCTTCGTGCCGATTTTTTGGCTATTGGAAAATGCATATATGACGTACAAGCGCTTTTATACGGAACACGGAATGTAAGTTGGTGTGGGAAAATGTGGAATTTTTGTGTTTTATAGCGATCGATTCATGATCACGCAGACGACGTATTCTGAGGTGAACAACCCGGAGGCGTTTTTCCAACCGATGGCCCAGGAGCAGTCGTTGGATTTGAAGGAGATTGCAAAGTGGGGGGTTTTAAGATTTTGAAACGGACGTTTTCGAATGAACGGTTCGTGGCCGTGTGTACGCGTTGCGTGTCGCGGGCCATTGCGTTGCGTCTGGCGGTACCTTGTGTGGCGTCACGCGGTTCGCGCGTTGCGGGTCCCGAGGCTGTGCGTTGCGCGTCGTGGGCGATTGCCGCTGCGCTGCGTTTTCCCTCTTAATCTCTTGCTTTACCCACTCGTGATCAAACAAAAAATCACGTAATATCGGATCACCAGTTCGAAGGCAAAAAACCCCGCCGGCTCGATCCCGATAAGCGCCATTCAACACTCGTTTTGTCACGGAAATCCCGAGCACGACCGAGGGTGATCCCTGTCCCAAATCTCGGGCCATCAATTTGGCGAGCCACCACGATTTTCAGATTGCTGGTGAAGTGCTCGGACCGGAACATCTACCTCGCAAAAAGGCTCAACCGGGCCAACCCCAGCGAGAAGGAGTTCGCGGCGGCGATCGGGCTTTTGCTGTGGAATCCGAGTGAGTTTTGGGGGAGGATTGGGGCAGAACCTCCATAAATTGGCTTATAATTATAATATTTATTATGAACAAATATAATTAAAAAAATCTGGTTAGAGTACGAATTTGTTTAAAATATTGAAAAATTTAAAATTTAAGTCATGCCCGAAACGACGCCAAACTATTGCGCCTCGTATTCAGGTTCGGACGTGGCGCAAATAATGCTAGCTTTCTAACTTTTAACATAAAAAAGTCGGCTCTGTAATTTATATAAACTATATAAACAAATTTAACTTTACAGACCTCTGCGATGACAACGAAAAAGTGCAAGAAGTTGCCGCTCAAGAACGAGCGAAGATTTTGGCCGAGTTGCACCGGTATTACAAGTAAGATTTTTCTACTAACTCGACTCTTTCTCTCTTTCTCTCGCTCTCTCTCGCTCTCTCTCTATCTTTCCCTCTCTCCCTATATCTCACTCTCACTCTCTCATCCTCTCGCTCTCTCGCTCTATATCTCTCTCCCTCTCCCTGTCTCTGTCTCGCTCTTTCTCTCGCTCTTTCTTTCTTTCTCTCTCTCTCTCTCTCTCTCTCTCTCTCTCTCTGTCCCTGTCTAAAACCAAATTTTCCAGATACGAAATTGGTCTCGAAGACTACGCAGGCCGACTCGGCGAGATCCTGTGCCTCTTCAGCACCCTTCAGGTAATTTTTGCAACCCCATTTTCGTTGCCATTTCGGTTTGTGGTTACGGTAACCTGGTCAAGCTATAAAACACTTAATAGCCAAATTAAGAAGTAATTTTTGTAAGCCATTAAATTAAGAACTAGTACTACTACTCATTAAAACGCTCTTTTTAGTCCTTAGAAGCCGAGCGGAAATAACATACGCAAAACTGTAAGCTCGCAACCGCGATTTTGTGTGGCCTTGCAATCTATGTAAAATTGCTAATACTTTCTAGTAGACAGTTTCTAAATGCGAGTCGTGTTACCGTAGCCACCGCGTGTTGACTAGTCGATTTGTGTGGTGTAACAGTGCCCTACCGTACTCCTCTCGCCTCGTACTGTATGCTAGCCTGTCAAAAAACCCCTAAATTTTCAGATGTTTGCTACTAGCACAAATTGCCGGGTTTGTTTTCACTGTTTGAATGGGATTTTGTGAATTTTGTACATTTCTCTATCTATTGGCTGCGGTGTCATTGGGGGCGGTGGTTTTTCCGCTACGGTTTACTTTACCCCCCCAAGCCGGAAAGTTGTGGCTATAACTCTTTATTTTGCATTATTTTAGGCTCAAATTAAGACTGTTAGTATATTTTTCGACGCTCTATCACCGATAAATTTAGCGAAAATACCGACAACTTTGAGGCCCCTCGGCTGTGAGGGGGGAGGGCGGGTAAAGGAAACCCCTACCGTTTTTTTTAAATTATTTGCTCACTAGAAGGCAGATAGATTTGTACGTCATCTTACTGTACTATTTCATGAACAGCTAGGTTTAATATCTTTCTATTGTTTTTGTCAATTCCATTCATTTTTGAAAATAGATTGATGATAGCTTGGTAAAGTTGGGCTTTCGCAGATAATTCAGGATCTTGGTAGTATGTCTGAGTTTTAAGAAAACGGGCAATTTGCCCTCGCTTGCCTGTGGATTTTTCATAATCGTGCCTCGTCAATCTCTTTAAACGCCCCTTAAAAGTCTTCAAGTGCCGAAAAAATTAGCATAAATCAGGCTTTGGTTCTAAATGAGCATAAATCTTGTTTGCTCCCTCCTGCCCCGCCCCACTCTCTACCCATTTTTTGCATTGGCATTTCCGGTTGGCTCGCTGCCAATTATAGATGAGCCCGACCCTACTGAGCCTTCCTGATCCCTTTAAGTACTCATTTCATTTCGTTTTGCACGAGCAACCTTTTATCCTACCTGTTGCATGCCCGTAAATAGTGACATACGCACACCTAACCTGCATGCAACTTCCCGTGGTCGCCCGACTATCATTTCGAAGCGCCTCCCTCAGCCCAACGCCGCCATTTCAGTGGCACAACGCGGCGGTGCGGGACGAGCTGGAGCTCGGCAAGCTGTACCAGCTCTACGAGCGCGACTCGTTCATCTATGACATCTGGCGCATCAGCCTCGCGCAGTAGGCCCCACACGGCTACACTACGCTCCTCTTTACACCTAAGGTACGGCGGTAGGGGTAGATTGTGGCATGGATCAGGGGAACTGATCGGTGGTGGTAGCACTGGCTTCTTCTACAAAAATCCGTTAGGGCCGTTTGGTTTTTGCGACTGTTTTCCCTGATGCGACAGATCAAAAGTATTGATTTCTGGCTAGTAAATTATGGTGGATAACGACATTAAAATTTTGATCTTTAAGACTAATTTTATAGAATCCCTTAAATAGGCCAAACGAACCGTTTTACCAGCAGCAAAAAATGGATAATTTCTATGAATAATTTTAGACCAATGAATTAGCAGGTGAAAATCCTTAAATAAAATGAAACAAGGTCAGGGTTCCGACTTATCCACCTGAATTATGTTTGCTTACAATTTTTCTATGAAATTTTGCTTCTGAAAAATCACGTCGAATTAGCGGCAAAATGAGAGAAGCGGATAACTTAACAAAAGTTATAAGATTCAGACTGCCAGATTTTATGACTCCCGCTCAGCTATATTCCGTCTTGAAGACGATCAGTAGCCAAAAAACCACCTTTCTCTTGCAATCCAATATGAATTTTTCAATTATTTGAACACACTGACACACCCTAATTTTTTCCGCTTTAAAGTACGTACGTGTACCATAGTCTGCCGCCTCGGAACTTAATGCACCCAAAGGCCCGGCGCCGGTTGTGCTCAAGCGCGTCCGCTTGAGTCGGAGCTTTGCTCCCCCGATTTCCACCAGTCCCCGCCGCGCACTATTTTGGGTCCGTCCTTACAAAATTTTTGCGCAGCGGTCGGGTGGCGCACGAGTGAGAGCAGAAGTTCCTCCTTTTTGGCGCGAACAGGGGGCTCTAGACTCGATAAAGCATCAAAGTGCTGCTGTTCATCGAAACGGGAGCATGGGCTAGGGGAGGATGAAAAGGAGAGCTGAGCGTATTTTACCTCTAAAGGGACTGACAAGGCATCTGTAATACTCGCTAATACTCGTATCCAGTTTGAGGCTCCCCGTTGAAACGACAATAAATCGAAAGCGTTGCTATTTCTGATTTTTGGCCTTAAAAGCTAATTCCGTCTTTTCAGAACCAAGAATCCGTGCTCCACGACGACGTCGAAATTTTTCAAATGCTCGACTGTTTGCGGAGTGACGACGGCTACATCTACAATTTAATCCAATCCCGCCCTTTGCATGTATAATTTGTACTTTTTGTGATTTCTGGTTATTCTAAAACGTATCCCCACCCAAAATGCCATGTGATCGATAGTTCTCCGTGTTTTCCCCCGTTCTTCCAACCGCTAGCTCTATGAACCTCTGACATGATGACCAAATAAAGAGCGCCTCGGATGGAAATCTGGGGTTGGTGAAGTCAAAAAGCATGTGATTTCATTCAAAGACGTCTAAGATGTCATAGATATACAATAAAAAGAATGGATAAAAAGGGATGAAAACTCTGAAGAAAAAACGCAAAAGATCCTATAAACTTCTTAAGAAAAAAATTCAGGCCAAAATTGCACATCCAGAGCAATCTGGGAGCCATTTAGCCTCTATTCCCCAAAAAGCAAAAAGTACTGCCCACTGACGGAATTGAACCGTCGACCTTCTGTTTACGAGACAGACGCTCTGCCCCTGAGCTAAACGGGCAACGGGGACAGGGAAGCGGGGGGACGCCCAAAAACAGTGCCCCAGAGTCGGAAAGGGGAGTATTCCCACCTGGCACCGGCTGCGCAATGTAATCGACAAATTTGGAGGACCGCCATCAGGCCCCTATAGCTCAGTGGCAGAGCGTTGGTCTTGTAAACCAAAGGTCGGTAGTTCAATCCTGCCTGGGGGCAAATGTTTTTTGCTTTTTTGAAACTAGGCAGTCCCTAAATTGAGGCGGTTTCGACGTTTTTCAAGCGAGTTTTTGCCGACTCGAAAACGACGAAAACTGAGATTCACTCAAATTTTTTGATGATTTTTATTTTTTTCTTGTCATACATGCGTCTGTTTTAAGGTATAATCTGATTTCTGCAAACAAAATCAATCGCAAAAATGTTGAACAAAATTATAACGCTTCAATGCTTGAGAAAATCGTAGATAAACGTGTCTTGCTTGAACAGATTCATCATGTTGAACAGCTCCAGCTCCTCCTTAAAGTGGAACGCGTTTCCCTAAATGGATATCGCTATAAAAATCTCACTGTAAAGTGTTTTTACTCAAGTTGGAGTTTCGATTCGGGACCAAGTGCATCTTGTGCAGAATACCGAATCCGTTTTTCAAATTTGCTGCAGACTTTTATTTAATAAGGCATTTTTGGTGCAAATTAAGCTTGAAAAAGCCAAAAATTCGGATCCTGGTCCACTATTCCCTCCATGGTTATGCCTCGCCCAGCGTACTCTGTCATAGCTCCCCTCCCGGTTAGCCCCATGGTGCATTGGCAAAGTACTCGCTTGCCAAGCGCAGGACGGCGATTCGGATCCCCGCCCTATCCCTTTCTTTTGGCTTTTGCATAAAAAAAAGAATTTTTTATAAAAAAGCTTGTTTTGACTTTTAAGATGCTTTTCTAGCCAATCTCCAGCCAATCTTGAAGTTGAAATTGATCAGGAAAATCGAAAACGATAACGGTTCCTTGATTTTGGTGAAAAACACTACCATAACTGCTGTATAACTTTCAAAAGAAAAGTCCGCAGCAAATTTGGAAAACGGATTCGAAATCAGCGTTTTTTTCGGAAGTTACAATTTTCAAGAATTGGTTTGTAATTACCTGAAAAGAGCTATACAAACACATTAGACCACCCAGCCGAGCCGCGTAATCCGATTCATTCAGCACAAATCTGAAAGATTCGCCCTGCAAGCAAAGATTAAGTAATATTAAAAATAAAAACGAGAATATTAAAAACAGAGAAAATTAAGTTCATTTACCTATAATACCTTCCAAGCTCGTCGAAAATCTTCTTCCTCTCGCCAGCACCGATTTTTTGGATGTTGGGGTGGTTTCTGGCGGCGTCTAAACCTCATTTTTATACATATTTTAGCAGATTAAAATTGTATTACCAGCATCCCATAAAAGTAGGGTCGTTAAGGCCGCAATTTCAACCTCGGTAACCTTTAATTCACGCATCCGGCCGACGACGTGTAGCTGGCGAAGCATTGATTCTTGCATGACACTGTAATGTTGGGAATTTATGGGTATTTAGAAAGCCAAAGTGAATTTTGTAAAGTGGATGCCAGAATCTATTAAATAGTAAGCAAGCCAATAAAACAAAGTACAGGCTTAGGAAAACTGACTTTGCCATCGTTGCCACGTTGTGCTCCGGAACTGCTCCTTCATAAAAATGTCGTATGTTATCAAGGTCCATGACGAGGGTTTGGGTGAACATTATTCTAAATTCGCACTTTTTTGGGTTCAATTGTGTTTAAAATAATGTTGACAGTCTCATCAAGAAGAAAAAACTCTGGAAAGAAAGAAAAGCGGAACCGCCCACTCCAAAGTGAAAAATCTTCAAATGGCGACTTTTCAGCTCTTGTCAAAGCCTTTTTATATATGATTGTAATTGCCATGGATTTGATATTCTTTATATCAGCTATTCTTACAAGGAGACGTCTTTGAGTGACATCCCAGTTTTTGAGCATGAGCAAGCCTACCTAGTGCAGAATTTTGCGCTGATTCCGAATCTGTTATCCACATTTGCTTAATCGGCACTTTGAAAAAGTTAGAGCGCATTTTAGGGCGAAAAGAACATTCGAAAGAACATCTTTTTCTGCACAAGAAGCGCTAATTACTTTCGCCAAAATAATTCCTCTCGCATTTTTCCAGGTGTCTAAACTTCGCGATTTTGAGCATTTTCGCGCTACGATTAAGTAAATTTGGATAACAGATTCGGAATCAGCGCAAAATTCTGCACAAGGTTGCTCATGATGGTTGCTCATGATGCTCATCATGATGAAAACTGGGATGTCACTCAAAAACGTCTCCTTGTTAGCTGTGCTTTGCTCACAGTCGACTCCCGGGTTCCATTTCCTTGTAGGTATAATACGCGCATCCCAGCATCCAAAACGTTGGCATAAATGCCTTGCAGTGATGCCACTAAATGGTTGTGTTTGGGACAGTTCGTACTCCAAATCATACCAGCTCCTCTTGCTCCAATTTCATCCCGTTTGGCCATACAGAGTGGACATAATCAACCGTACATGATAATTGGGAGCGAGCCATGCGGCACACTGTGTTAAACTTGGCCAGGCGTTTTTTCTAAAGCGTAGTTTTATAGTTGTGCGGGAGAGCGTGAGAGAGAGAGAGAAAGAGAAAGAGAGGGAAAGAGAGCGAGAGAGAGCGAGAGAGAGAAAAAGAGAGAGAGAGAGAGAGAGAGAGAGAGAGAGAGAGAGAGACTTAAACGGCTATACTAAATCAGTCTCCTTGCTTCATAGGCTGAGCTCCACCTACAGCTTTCCCAGTTATCGTATCGAATAGATCCCTTTGGCTTCCTTCCGTAATCGAGTATTCCACAGCCTTTTGCACAGATAAATAGTGCCTAAAATTTCATTTGACTGGGTCTAAGATTGGTGGATATTACCGAAATTTTTCAACCAATCCGGTGAGGTATGCTGGGACTTCTTTGGAGCTCGAGTCCGGAAGCTTTGGAGCCGACGGTTGTATTGTGGAGATTTTTTCCGCCTAGACAATATTTTCAACTGTAATATCTGCGTTTACCGTTTGTTTCGGCTCTTCCGCGGTTTCCGGAAGTGATTCTTGTTCGGCTGGCCGATTCTGCACGGCTATAAGTATATTTTTAATGTTTGCTGTTGTAAATAAAGTTAAATCCAAATAAAGAAAGAGGGAAAGACAGAGAGAGCGAGAGAGAGCTAGAGAGAGAGAGAGAGAGAGAGAGAGAGAGAGAGAAAGAGAGGGCAATACATACATTCTGTAGCCATCCCCAGCCGCCGGCATTTATCCAGCCGACATTTCCGGCAAATCCTGGTTCCTGGAAAATGCTTTCTGGAGTTGCATTATGATTCGCCATACCTTTGTGAATCCGACATCTATTACTTTTCTGCGTGCAGTTATATGGTTTCGGAAGGGTTATGCAGCGTCTAAAGCCTCAAAGAATATGAAGAAAATACAAAAGCATACCTGAAAAAGGCGGCGCACGCTCGACATGCCTCCACTCCAAAGTGATTGCCATCAGAGCTGGCGCCGCATATTTTGCATATTCTCTGGTCGGCGCTTGCTGGATTTGAGGAGTCGGCGGGGCATACCTCGAGTAAATCTGGAGGTGCTGGACTGTCCATTTAAAGTCTTGATAGACTGAAAAAAATAAGGATTTTACAAAGAAACAACGAGCCTAAAAGCCATTATATTATGGTAGCGTCGTAGTATTAAAGTGGTCCAAAAGACTCGGATTTTCAAAATATTGATGTAAATATCCGACCAATTATAATTTATTTCGGGCCGTGCTTTAAACAAAAAAAATAACAATTTACTAAAAAAAACCTCAACGAAAGATCGTATAATTGTGAAATAGTCGGAAACTAAAGAAGAATTAGCTTGTTAGGCTAGAAAACCTTAACTATCTAAACTTATGATTTTTTAAGCATGTGTATTAACGTAAAAAGCGTAGTTTAAAAGAAAAACAGATTATATAATCGATAAACTTCAGAAAAGCAAAGAACAATTCCATTTGTTAGTGATAACTACTCTAAATAGCCATCTCTCCCCCGACTGCCAATCACAAAAAACGATCTCCGTTCTGTCGGATTGTGATTTGTGCGGCGGACCATATCAATGGGCAAAGTTTATTTACACCAGATTACATACAAATGGATGTATTACATTGGGTATTGCAACACTAAAAAAGTTAATGCTTGATAAAGTCATAAATAAAGGTATCCTGGCTGAACAGGTTCATCATGTTGAACAGCTCCAGCTCTTCCTTGAAGTTTGAGGCGTTATTCTAAAGCAATAGTTTTCACGTTTGTAGTTGCTGTTAATAATGAATCATGTTCATAATGTGTTTATTGAATGGCCAAAGTGAGACTTTGAAGAATTCTGATACCTGAAGTGAGCTGTAGATGCACATCAGCTTCCCAAGCCTTACAGCGTAATCGGGGAGGTTGAGGACGTATCTATAGATTCGAAGGTAAGCCGTCGATACCTGGAGTATTACCTGTAATACTGACTCAGCTCGTTGAAAATGATATCCCGTTGCTCGGATGCAATTTGGATAAGAGCAGGCTTTTCACGGGCCACGTCTTAAAAATCACGGTAAATTTTGGGTTTTCAGGTTCAAAGATAATCCCAAAACCTACAAAACCTAAAGTATAATTTAATAAGATTTTTCATAGTAAGATTGTTTTTGGAAAACTTACTTTGATCCCACAGCAGAATCACCATCAGGGCTGAGATTTCAATTTCGGTGGGCTCCAGGCTTCGAAGCTGGCGAACGGCATCGCAATCACGGAGGTAACACTCTCGCATTACACTAAAACAATGATATTAAAATTTAAAGGGACTAAGAAGGTGAAATCGACGCCTGTCCATGGCCAGGTATCGACAAAACTTACTTTGACATCGTCTCCACATTATGTTCCGCCACGCTACCCTCATAAAAATAGCGTGTGTTGTTGAGGTCGACAATTGTCGTCTGAGTGAACATCATTCTAAGTTATGCAATGCTTAATTTAATTGAATTTTTATTAATCAGTACGTTAAGTTACGTCAAAAAATCTTCATATAATCTGATTTTTAGGGCCACGAGTGTTTGCTTGAGACCTACGTCGTGCTGTCCGGTTCCATATATTTATATGTAAAGTATGACGTCTCAAACATCCATAACATTGGCGAATACTGGCGGTAAATGTGCCACTATAACCTTTTTTTAGGAGGTTGAGGCAACAATCCAACCAGCTCATCAGGCTGAAGCTCCGGCAACGGGGCCAGGACGGACTTGACGAATTCGATTACGCAAGGTAATATCGCCCGGGCGAGCCGGCACATCATCGGGAAATTGGCCATCGGACGTTCCTAAGGAAATAAATTTGATTTTGGGAGGTACTACCACTTTCTGTATTACGGTGTCGAAGACGTCGCGGTGCGTCGCGTTCGTAACGGAGTGTTCAACGGATCGTTGGACGGAGAGGAAGTGTCTAAAAAGCGAAAAATTGACTGAAGTAGTAGTAGTGGCCAGGGAGAGAGAGTAGGAGAGAAAGAGAGAGAGAGAGAGAGAGAGAGAGAGAGCGAGAGACAGAGATCGAGAGCATTCCAGAGTTCAAAAACCAACTTGAAAATGTCGTTAATTTCGTATAACCGCGGCGCGATTTGACTTGGGCTCAACTTGGAGATATTGTAGACTGGATCGGGAGTCTAAAATATTTGTTAATGATTTTTGCCCGATTTATCCAACTGTAGATGATGTTGGCGAACACTCCAGAAATGTCTCCTTCTCGGCTGGCCGGTTTTGCACCTCTAAAATATTTAAATCAAAAATTTTCAGTTTTTAGCTCACGGTCCGAAATCATTCCCAAGCGTCTGCACTTGTCCATTCGGCATTTTCGGCACATTCTGGTGCCTGGAAGGAAGCATAGTTCGGGGGCTGGATGAATGGAATTTGGACGTCAAAGCGACCGTTTTTCCAAGGCTACATGAAACAGGTAATCTACCTTTATAAATCTTGCACATCCCACCCTGCTGTCGGCATATATAATCTTTTGACAGCACAACGCTACGTCTGAACACCTTTTGTAATGTAATAAACATTATTTGGAACCTGAAAAAAGCTGCACAAGCCCGGCAGGACTCCACGCCAAAATGGCTGCCGTCTGACGCAGCCTGGCAGACTTTGCATAACTTCGACTCGTCAACGACGCCGGGGTCTTCGAGAAGCTTTTCCATTTTGGCCGGATGAAGCTCGGTGAGTTGTGGGAGTAGCTCCTCGTCCATCTGGAATTAAGAACGTGCCAAATATTGTTGTGATCGTATCTATTCTGTGTATCGTATCCAGGCCCGTAAGAGGGGGCGAGGGGGGCGAGCCGCCCCCCCGAAATCGGCCGAAGGCCGAAAAGTTCATAAGGGTTCATAAGTTCACAATCATATTTCGCCTACATCTTATTTCGCCCACATCTTATTCCGCCTACCTCTTATTTCGCCTACACTTTATCTCGCCTACATCTTATTTCGCCTACCTTTCATTTCGCCTATCCCTGTATTTGCTCATACAACGTTAGTAGAGCTTCGGTATATAGTATCTTCCATGATAATAAAGCTGGACTGCCTTTTAGATAAACGCTGCGCTAAAATAAGCCGCGTTTATCTTTTCCACTGACCATTCCAAAGCTGTTCTTTTTTGCTCCACAGCATTAAACGATCTATATTTGATATACTGAAGTTGTAATAATGCTTGATGCGCAAATACAGGTAATATGCAAAATAGGCGAAATGAAAGGTAGGCGAAATAAGATGTAGGCGAGATAAAGTGTAGGCAAAATAAGAGGTAGGCGGAATAAGGTGTAGGCGAAATAAGAGGTAGGCGGAATAAGGTGTAGGCGAAATAAGATGTAGGCGGAATGGGATGTAGGCGAGATAAGAGGAGGCGAAATAGCAGTAGGCGAGATGCAAATAGGCGGAATCATGTTTTCCCATTTTTAACACTAGTTTTAGTGTTATAAACCCTATGTTTTCAAAAATTTTGCCTGCGGCGCTGTAGTTTTAGTCATATTAGTGAAAAATTTTTGGGGTCGCCCCCCCCCCGAAATTTGGGTTTGTTACGGCCCTGATCGTATCTAGTCGTAATCTAATCAACGAAAAGGCAAAAATAGGTCAACGTAACTTTAACAGTGCAAAGATTGATTTGAGTGGTGAGTCGGGTATGCACTTCCTGTTTTTGGTCGTATGCCGCCTTTGAAAAACCGTGTTCGAGATGTGGGACCTTCTATGGGTTGGATGGTAACGGGAGGAATGAGATGGGATGTGAGCTATAGGAAAAATTGTTTCTCTCTCTCGCTCTCTCTCTCTCTCCCTCCCTCTCTCACTCCCTTGTTTCCTAATCAATTAATGCCCAAATAGCGGAAACAAAAGGATGCTGGCGCTTAATAGTTGGTAACGTAGGTATCGTTGGACCTAGTTAATCCGCAGTAGGAAAATGACGCATTAATAAAATATGCATTAATAAAATCTAGTAAAAAACAAGGTACACCGTGACGACCGAAAAGGCAAAACCGATCAAATATCGACCCTTGCCGTTTTTTGGAGGCGGATAGATAAGGGGTCACCGCTTTCTGCGTAGCACCGCCGTGACAGGAAATTTTCGAGGGAGGACAACCAAAAGTGAATCTAATCCAAAAGATCCTTAAAAAGAGAAAATCGGGGCGCGCAATGTACCCCGCGCGCGGAACGCATGAAGCAAGTACAGCGAATTAGTGGCGGAATGTAAAGTTTTGTGATTTGGGCACCGTTTGGCGGTTGGGGGTTATTTTTTGGATCTAGAGGTAGAAATCACAGAAAAAGGGTGGTCAGAAGAAAATGGGAAATTGAGTAATTTTCGTTAGCGAGTAAAATTGTTATTCGGAGCTTGGTATAGCAATTTTAAAGGTTAAGGAGATAATGATGAGAAGTAGCCAGAAAAAGCACTGAAAAGACCATTAATCTTAATTCACAATATATAACGAATAAAAAATAATTCAGTGCACTAGAAAAGGAGCTAGCAAACAGGCTGTAATTAAAAAAATGTAAAATTAAGGAAAAGTTGACGTCCCAGGAATCTCAGAATTCAGATTCTCAATCGCGCATGGCTAAAAGACGAAAATCAGCAGCCCGGCCAAGGATGGAAAATGAGCGCGTTTGCGAAATCTATCCGCTTCTAATCATGAAAGCTGATAATTCGCGGCAATCAGTTGCCCATAGATCAATACCAAATCGGGGAACGGGCTACAAGACTACAAATCTTCGCCCCACGAGAAAAAGAGAGAGCGCGGCGGCTGCCAAGAACGAGTGACCTAGACGAGTACTGATCAAATCTTTCTAGCGCTCTCTCTTTCTCTCTCACTCTCTCCCTCTCTCTCGCTCTCTCTCTCTCTCTCGCTCGCTCTCTCTCTCGCTCTCGTTCTTCATTTTTCTAGCTCTAACCGTGGGGGCTAAATGGTCAATATTGGTCACCAGGTTCGCCGATCTTTGAGAGCAAAAACTGTACTTTGCTCCGGAATTTGTCAGAACTGTAGCCGATATCTAAAATTCATAAATCATTTCACACCTAAAAAGTCTAACTGGCCTCAAGAATATTTTCAGCCTAAGCCTAGCCCTGTCAAGCCCAATAATTCATAAAATCTGTCGAATTTTGGGTTCTGTGAGTTTCGAAAAATGAAGCTTCAAGACGTTACCTTCCTACTTTGGAACTCACACATCATGTGGCATCCGTGAACGAATGTTTACGGCTGTCTGATGGCTCGCTTTATCTATGCGTTACCCCCCTAAACAGCGCCTGCCGCTCATTTTCGCCCCTGCAATTGCACTGTAGTTGGGCATACACCAATTTCCTAATCGGATGGTTCTCGGGTGTTTGAAATTCGTTGCCACGATAATTTTGAATTTTTATTGTCTTTTTTGAGGCTTGACTCGCTGACATTTTCAAAATTGTTAACGTATTTCATTTATTTTTTTAAAAAACGCATCCGACCGCTAGCGTGCGCGTCGCGTATCCCGGTCACCTTAAAATTTTCGGCGAATTTATGGCAAAAAAGCTAACGTTGTGCCAATCACAGCTTACAAAATTCGACTTAGACCAGGGACCTTTTTTAAAAGGAACGTGGCACCCTTTTTTTGCACCAGAATTCAAAAATTCCCCTTCTTGCCAGCCCGTACGTTCATCATAATTTTGTTCACCAGCTCGGGTTAATCCTCCACTATCCATTCTAGGAAAAGCCGAGCGGTGTCACTGAATCACTGACTCCCCCTCTTCGGTTGTTATGGGATATCGGGCCCGGCCAGTGGCCATCCAGCCCTTCATTCGCGCACTCTTTTCATTCCCTTATCCCTTTTCCACAACTGTGCTTTTTGAATTACCCGATTTACCCCCGCCAAACTAATCAAACACGCTTTGTTCTATTTATCAGAAAATATTCCCGTAATTCGTTCGCACCCACCCCGATTTGCACTTTTGGAAAATCGGTCGCATCCGTTTCGGTACTTTTCTTCCGGTGCCTTTTTCGATTGCTAGGTGACAATAAAATAATAATGGTATTAAGAAAATTTCACCACCTTTTTCTAAACATCACAGTTCTCTGTGTACCTATGCATTTTCAAGCTTTATTCCTGAAGAAAACTTTAAAAAGCTTGTTTTTCCAGTTTTAATACATTTTTACGAGACCGCGCTCAATTACGCCATAAAAATTCAAGGGTTCTTATGGGTTCAGGAGTTTGAGACGCCAGTTTTATGGCCCATCACGCGATGAAATACGTGACTTTCGCACGGCGAATTTTTACAGGCGATCTTTCATCTGTTTTCGAGTCGTGATTCCAGACAGTCACGGCCATTCGACCCATAGAATGAAAAGGGTCGTTTTTGGGCATTATTTTGGCACAGTGGCACCCGGAAAGTTTTTCCGGCGGCGCAAAAGAGGAAAGATTACCATTGGGCTCGAAAACAATTTCTCATCGGCGCCGGGCGGTGAAAAATCAGGTTTTGTGTGTGGTTATGGTTCATTTGATGCGGCTGTGCATTTTGTCATAATTGAGTTGAACCTGTGGAAGGCATTTTCGCTTGTGAAATAACGGCAACGATGCCGAGAAAAAGATGTGGCAACAGCTAAAATCCCGACAGCCCAAATACGAATGGCCAAATTTCCCGAAAGCCAAAATGGTGACAGGCCAAAATCTTGACAAGCCGGAATCCCGACAGGCCAGATACCGGCAGACGAAAATCCCGATGACCGGAATGTCGACTGGCCAAAATGCCGAATGACCAAAATGTCGCTAGAGCAAAACCTTGATAGCGAGAAGCTTGAAAACCAAAATTCAAAATCCAAACAAACCAAAATCAAACCAAAAGCCGAAATGGTGATTGGCCGAAAAATTTCCGAAACCAAAACCCCAACAGCCCGACAGTTTTTTTTTCTAGTTCTTCGAGCAATTCAGAAGCCGAAATACTTGACCAGTTCGATCATGAGGACCTATCATTGATGTGTGATCTAACGAGTAAGTGATTTCCCAGGGTTCAAGTCCATTTTCTATCCCTAGGATACAAAAGAGTGGCCCTACACCAATAATTCCCCCTGCCAAGTCTGGACCCTTTGATCTTTTTTGCCAACTTAATTTAAATACCAACACCTCCCATTCGGCGCCGCCCCTTTTTATTTACCGCCTCGGCTGCCGGCGACACAATTCCGCGCCGAAGTTGGCACTCGATCAACGAACCATGCTCCTTCAAAAATCCTCCCGACCGCGCGCATTTGCTCGGGTTGAGAGCGCGGATTTCTGCTCCCAGCACCCGGTCGAATTAACATCTAGCGCTGTGAGACAACCCGGCCGTTCAAGGCTGATTCCAGTCCCGGTAAACAATCGTTGGTCTTGTTGATTTCGGCAAATTTGTGCCTATTCTGCTTTTGTTCAGCCTTTTGTAGCAATTCTAGCGCGTAATTTAAATTAGAGTTTGAATGTTAAGCGTTTGAACCCAATTGTACTTATATATTATACTTGATTATCACCATTTGCCACTTTTTAATCTTGCTAATCATCACAAATTTCCGCTTGTTCTGCTTTTTTGTCGGTATTCATGGGGATTGTCTATCAAGTCCTATAGAATAAAATACTATTACAAAAATTACGCAAATTGAGGCTCATCCAGCTAAAGAAACTCCTGTTTACTAATTGCCGATATTTTAGCTGCTGTAGTTCGTATTCGA